TTCGGGATGTTAATTTATGTAATCGGATCCTCGACAGTGGATTTGACAAGCGTATGCCGCTCGCGCGCCGCTGAAGCTAAAATATCGTAAATTGCTGGTTGAGCATCTATTACACTTACACGGCGATCAATAATTGATTACGAATACGCGAAACAGAGAGAGTGGCTTCATATTCGTGTCTCTCTCTCTCTCTCTCTCTCTCTCTCTCTCTCTGTCTCTCTGTCTCTCTTGCTACCGCCATCTACCTCTCTTCATAACGTGCGTTATCAGCATCTACGTGTACACCGAGCGTAGCGACGTCTATTTCTACGCGACGCAAACTTTCGGAAAGGGCGTTTCTATTCGCGTAGTAAGTAGCGCGCTCGATTAGCACGATTAGGCAAAAATCGAACCTCGACGACCTCGTGGACAGAAGGAACGCACGGGACATTGTGCACGGTAGCATTGTGAAAAATTGATTCCAAAGGTCAAATCGGGTCCCGATCGATTCGACGCGACACGACGCGGCGCGGCGCGGCGCGACGCGACGCGACGCGCTGTACCAAGCGCGATGGGAAAGAGAAAGGAAGAGAGAGGCGAGGAAAGAGAGCGAGAGGCAGCGATTGAATTTCCGGAGTGCTAAAATTTCGAGCGTCGTCGGCAACGCGTGACGTCCGACAGGCGGACGGAACGATACGACGCGACGGCCCGTCTCTCGATTAGTGACTTTATTTAAATTTCAACGCGCACAGCGCGCGCGGTGGGCCGCGGCGCGCTGTGTGTACGCTTTAGTGATTATCGCGACATTCGCTAGTAATTGCTCGGACGACACCGCAATTGATTGCTTTACGCTTCTAGTGGCGTGTTCTATTTTATCGGCTCCCGACATAATCTGTGTCTAGCGCGTGTGCGCACGACATCGGCCGTTTAGTTTGACTCGGGCTCGGGCCCGGAAATTTCGACACTCTGTCTCCCTTCTTCTCCCGCCCCTCTTTCTCTCTCGCTCGCTCGCCCGCGCGCTCTCATTCATTCTCTCCTTCCCCTCGCGAATGATAAAAAGCGAATGGGCGTGATAGGAGCCATTGATGTTACGCGCTCGCGCGAGGGCGTGCGACATTTTCGTGATATACGTTGTACATGTAAAATCACTGTGGTAAAACCGCCTGGGACGTATTCCCGTCCAATTCCGACATGACCCAATTCCGTTTCGTAAGCCCGTGGCCGTGCCTTGTCACGGACACGTCACGGAATATGATAAATGTTTTCCAAAGCAAATGAGTAAATAAATTGCATTCGATGCCGATTTATTTTTTAACTCTCGCCGCGTGAATTACACGCCAATGAGAAGGAGGGAAATCCGCCGCTACCTCCCAGTCCTCCCCCCCCCCCCGTCTTCCCTTGGTGGTAACCCATGGGACCGATGAGATAATCGGTGAAAAAGGGGCGATTTCATCGTGAACGTCGTCGACGAGCGACGAACGCCACGACGACAATGACGAGGAGGTTGCCGCTCGTAACCGTTCACAAGAGCGCCGTCGAAGGTCGTTAACGTGCCGAAAGGAAATACTAATATTGTTCGCATCCATCGAAGAACGGAAGAAAGGCTTAACGAGCGAGTCAAGAAGAAGCGGGCTTTGTGGTCGCGGCCGCTTATGGTCGCGAAATTGTTCCGGGCGTTGTAACGCACCGCGTCGAACGCATCCTCCGCCGTCGCGGAGCGGAGCGGCGACGGCGGAGAGCCGAGGTCGTCCCGAATACGCGCGGCACAAGCGCAATTATTATTACGCTCGTTACTCGTATATTCCATTCAAAGCATTCTGGGCGGCAGCGACTGCCGGGGGGTTATTATCCTATTGAGCTCGTAAGAAGCAGCCCGCGCGCGATGTCGTACGAGCGCGTCTTACGACATCCTCTATCTGCTAACCAACGGAACACGGGCCAACAAGAAACGCTTAGCTCGTAGACCGTACGGTCGAACTTGGCTCTTGCTCGAGAAACAACGCTAGAGAGGGAGATAGACGAGAGGACAAAGACCGGCGGAGGGGAGGAAGGGATGGAAAAGAGGAGAGGGACAGAGGGAGCAAGTCGTAGCCGAGTACAACGAACGGCTTCGACGATAACGGAGAGCGACGCGCGGAGGCGCCGCGTAAGAGAGAGAGAGAGAGAGAGAGAGAGCTCGACAAGACATACGAGAACGATACATCGTCCTCAAGAATCTCTCCTCGAGCGATTTTCAGTTCTATCGATCATTTCACCAGCGACGAATAAGAGAGAGAGAACGCCGGCCGGAGGAAACGTAGATAGATGACGGAGTGGCGGCGCGGCGCGGCGTGAAAACGCTGCGATGGCACAGCAGAAGAAAGAACGGGAAGATCGGCGGGGCGGGGGGGGCGGGGAAGGGAAGGAAACGAAAAGAAGAGAGAAGAATAGAAACGGAGAGAGTGAGTCGTTTCGCTCGCCCGTTATTAGAAGACTGATTGTGGATGATACATGAATATACGAGGTAGCTAGATAGAGAAAGAGAGGGGGGGAGGAGCGGGGGGAGAGAGAAAGCTCGGAGAGAGAGAGAGAGGGAGAGAGCGCTAATTAATTACGCGGCCGGAGCGGGGGAGGGGGGAGGCAGATTGAGCGAGGTCGATTCGGTCGATTGGTGGTGGCGCATTGCGCGCTCGATTTCGTTGAATAATAATAAGGGTTAATAGTCGCGTTAACGAATGCGTACCCTTGAACGACCGTGCACTCTCTCTCTCTCCTCTCTCTCTCTCTCTCTCTCTCAACAATTGAGAGCGTCGGACCTATCGGCGGCGACTTGTGCGCGAACGTGTTCCGAAGTATTCGATGCTGCTTGCTTGCGCGGATGCTCGTTTCGCGTTTCCAGCGGAGCTGTGCGAGCGAAACGCTACACGCTTCCGGACTGAACTCGGTTCAAGCGATCGTTACGTCGAAACAATCCGCTGTGAAATCGACGCGTGTGTGAATCGGCTCATGTAACCAGCCGGGTCGTGCGAAATGGCACAGTCGGCCGATCAAAGCACTTTTTCGATGAGTTTCGTGACGCGTTTCGTTCTTCGTAGAATGAGAGAATTTGTTTTCCAGCGAACCACCCCTCAAGAAGACCCATTTTCCTGCGGAGCTACGGAGTGCTCGTCGAGGAACTCGCCCCGAAGAAAAGCGTTGCAGTCTTCCTCTTAATCAGAGTCCTCTTTTGTCCGTTCACTGCGATACGCGACGCCCAAGACGCGAGAGAGAGAGAGAGAGAGAGAGAGAGAGAGAGAGAGAGAGAGAGAGAGAGAGAGAGAGAGAGAGAGAGAGATTAAAGGTTCCGTGGGAGAAACGTTTGCATGAATCGAATCGATTTCGAAGTCGATTGCTTCCAAAGACTCAGAGCCATGGCGCACGAAGGGACGTAGGCAACAAGAAAATTGCTCAGTCACAGTCGATTATCTCCGCATGATAAGGAAAATGATCAACTGTGGCTGCTGCTGCATTTGCTCTCACTGCTCTCACATTTCTGCCTACGCCACGGCGTCTGCCAGAGGCACGTTCGATCTTGCTCCATCTTCATTCCTATGGAGGAAATCTCAATCAGGAAGCTAGAGACGAAAATGGCATGCCTGTGAGACAGCGGAGGGGGAATATTCTTTACATCTCTCATCTCTCGATAGATCTCATAATAAGGCGCGGTCTACACACACGATGACTGTTTCGGCGTAACGATTACGCGAACTGAATAGAGAAAGACCGAATCTGCTATCACTTCGCACGGTCCCGGCGAGAAAGAGAGAGAGAGAGAGAGAGAGAGAGAGGCGGTTCTCACATCTCGCGAAATATTCGATGAAACGCGCATAAATCGCGCGAGAGACAAAACGCAGCGAAAAACACACAGTAAACAAGCGCGCGACTTATTTATTGCATACAGGCTGAATTATAAATTACCGTAAGTCGCCGGCACCGATGTTTAGGCTGACAAGTTAATCAGCTCTTTTTTAATCCTCTTATACCGTCGCCGAATGAGAGCCGCGGGACGAGAGGAATTCCGTTAAAAAGCGCGCGCGCACGCGACGATCGATTCGAGCGGACGGGAACGGTAATGGCAAGGAACGTTGCTTGACGGCACCGGCTATAAGCGAATTCCTCAATTATTTAGCCGCGAATAAAGATCACGACCGTTCTCTCTTTCAAGCCGCTACGATCGATCCCCTTTAATACTCGTAAAGCGACCGCCGCGATAATTGTTAAGACGCAGTATATTTTCGCTGCAACGACAAAACTACATCGCCGTCGTAAAAGAGGAGGGGAGGGGGCGGTGGGGAAGAAAGGAAAACGCCTCCTTTCATACTGGCGTATCCACATGCGCTCTTGGCGCGTGCATGTGCACACCCGTGTGTGTATGTGTATGTGTGTGTGTGTGTGTGTGTGTGTGTGTGTGTGTGTGTGTGTGTGTGTGTGTGTTTAATGCACTCTTCCACGCCAATACTAAATTGCCGCGCCGGCAATACTTTTATCGCCTCTTTTACGGCGCCGACTCCTTACCCTGTGACTTCGTTTTTGAATCCGATGGGACTATAAAGATAAATTAAGTAAGACGTCGAAGTAAATGGGCAAGAAACCGCATAACGGCCTAGAGGATCGTTAAATAAGTCTGAGCCGGTAGAGAGAGAGAGAGAGAGAGAGAGAGAGAGAGAGAGAGAGAGAGAGAGAGAGAGAGAGGGGCAGAGGAGAGCGAGCGAGCTGAAAATTGCCCGGAGAATTGGAAGAGACCGCGCATTTTCCGCGTGTCTGGTTTCGGCTGCGACCGCAATTCGTACGAAAGCCAACCCTGTCTCTCTCTTTCTCCAAAAAAATTCACGTTCGCGGTGAAGCGTTCTCACGCGGACAAGAGCTTGTCGTCGTCGTCGTCGTCTTTCTCCCGCTGAGGAGGATATCGGATAATTCATCATTTGTCGCCGCGGCGGAAATAATTAAAGTCCTTATTGATCTGATCTGATTGTTAAATGTGTGTGTGTGTGTGTGTGTTGCAGGAACGCGAGTCGAAAAATCGAACAAAGGACGGCGGTGCCGCTCATAATTTGCCTGTCTCTGCTGATGGCGACGGGGGCGAAGACAGTGACCGTCACGAACATGACGAACGTATCGTTCATAACGTCGACGGCGAAGCCGTTTACAACGACGGAAGTAGTTTATCAGCGATTCGCCATCGAGCCGATGGATCAAACCGCGGTGATTGGCAGCCGAGTGACGCTTCCGTGCCGAGTCCTCGATCAGAAGGGACCCATTCAATGGACTAAGGACGATTTCGGCTTGGGAGCGGTCAGGAATCTCACCGGATACGAGCGATACGCCATGATCGGCAGCGACGAAGAAGGTGAGTGAGCGAGCGAGAGAAGGAGAGATTATCCCGGAGATTTGATTTTCACGCTTAAATTAATCCGAACGCGCAATTCGCCCGCCGACATTGTGCAAAACAAGGGGCGGGGGGGGCGGGGGGGGAAGAGCAGGACGAGAGGCGCGATTTGCAGGGATGCGTGTGCGTGTAATCTCCTTCCTTTACTTAAACGTCGTACGACGGAACCCCCCCAACTGCCGCGCTATCGAGAAAATTGGAAAGTCTCGCTCGCGGGACTTCCGATCATTTTCTGCTGCGAGTCAAAAAATGCGCGCGGGGATGATTAAATTTCCCGGTGGGAGCGAGTCTCCCTCTCGCGGGATTTGAATAAGAAAAACGCCGCCGCCAATTTTCCCACGCGCAACGCGAATCCTGCGATTTTCTCGCCGCTCTTGCATATTTCACGCCCTCCTATTCTCGGAAACGTCGATCGGAGGTAATCGCGACCGCGAACTTTCGAGCGCAAAGTCCGCGCTTCTCTCACCGCTGGACGATTATTTTTAAGCACACACGTACCGGGAATCGCGCTCGCGCTCGCGCTCGCGGTATTCACACCCTGTTGACCCTGTGTTTACTCATCCAAATTCAATTTCCCGCCGTGAGGTATTGATTTTCGCCGCTGCGTCGGAAAAAAGACCACGCACCTCCGCCCTTCACAGCTTTCACACTCGCGTGGGTCTTGCGCGCCGCAAGCGGGCGCGCGCTTCACGCCACTTGGAGTGTCTCGCTCCGCGAGATCTCGCGGCAATGATTTTGCCGTAAGATTTGCGGAGACCACGAGGAGACCGAGACGCGTGCGATATCGCATCAGGAGTCAACTCCCTGCTTGAGCGGAAGCTCGCAGCTCAAGCAGTCCGTTGCACTTCGAAGTCGATGCCGTTAATCCCGTGGACGGGAACGGCCGTCCGTAATTCTTGGTGCGACTGTCAGAATGGCGCGGGCCGTCCGATGGGGAAATTGCCCCTTGAGAAAATTCGCCCTTGTTAGGAAAAATTGGCCCCTGACGGATACATCCCGAAAGTCGCGCGAGAAAGTTACGAGCAACTTCGCCTCACGACTTCGCTCGCTAGTCTACTTCGCTGGCAGAAAACGCTGGCGCGTCAATGTACAACGGCTGATTGGTAGCCGTCGAGAAGGGAAAGCTTTCTTGGAAGGAACGGTCGCGTGAACCGACCTCGGGGCCGCTTGTTTCGATGTAACGATTACTCGGGAGCCGAGTTGAGAGCGCGCAATGTCGAGTGCCATTTCGCACCAGGTCTGGACACTAGACGCAGAGGTTTGTATGATGCGTTGGTGCGTGTGTACCCGACCGAGAAATTTATCCCACCTGGTCCTGATCAGGTTAACCTCATTTGGACCTCAGGTCCCAATAATGTAATACTATCCTAGTAAGTGTCATGTAACGCAGCGTGGATATCGGAACCTTAGTAAGGATTCATGGTCGGGTCCTTATTGAGTTACCTTATGGAATCCTTATTACGTTTTTTTTTTCTTTTTCTTCAAATTATGCCTCCTGATTACTTCGCCACGGCTGTATTGGATGATGACATTAGAAATAAGAAATGACACGCTGAGAATCCTTTCATGTCATTTCCAAATGAAAAGATATCTGCATGAAATAATGTTTTATGTAGATCGCTTGAGCATACTTGTAAAATGTTTCGGAAAAGAGAGACAAAATGAATATCACAAGACCATAAAGTATCACAAGGTGACGAGACATAGAGTAGCGTTAAAGAGAAAAGTTGCGTGTCACGTTAATTTTACAACTATTTATTGACTGCTAAAAAGAGGACAGTGTTTCTATATAGCATTTTACAAATATATTCAAGTGATCTGAAGTGTTTTTTTCAATGCAAACGTCTTTCTACTTGGAAATGACAGCCAAAAATTGTTTTGTTGAAACTTGATAATGCAAATGATACTAGATACAATGAATAAGAACCTGATTAACTGAACCATATTATATCATACACTAGGTTGGTAACATTAAGGTCCTAATGTGGACCCGATCATTATAACCTTGTAAAGGTTTTCCTTGCTCATTTGTCGTTAGGACATTATAAGGACTGACTTACTTAGGATTACTTTTCATTCACCCTATTAGGTCCTTATCAGTGTTGGAACCTGATCAAAATTTCTAGTCGGGTACGCGCACTGCGGTGACGGAAATCGGCAGGTGGCGAAGCGCGTATGTAAACGCGCGTAACAAAAATCGCAGCGCGCGCGACGGGAGGCCTCTAAAATACGGCCCGTAATTTCTTCTGTCCGCGGGGAAAGCGCTTCCGACAGTCGTGAAAAATCAGCTGTACCTGTGCGCGGTACCTGTTTTCGCTTCCAGGTCGAATGATCCCCGGTGCTTTTGTCATTCGCAGCCGAGCCGTTTTCAGCCGCGACTATTGAGGCGGTATGATTTAATAAAAAAAAAAAAAAAAAAAAAATAGGGGTGGGGGACAGGAGGAAAAAAAAAAGTATGTAACGTTCTCGCAACGAGGTCAGCTGAAATGACTCGCGCAGTAGGAGAGGTTAATTGCGGAAATCGAGGCGATATCCTCGTTCGCGATTGCGATCGGGGGCAAAAATTTGTCACAGCGTTCCGCGCCGCACTTCGGTGCGGCTGCGGCTTGTGCGGCCGGGGAGGGGAGAGGAGAAATTTATTTCCTACTCTTCGGCGGCTCGATCCTTTTTGCGCGGTGCGACCCTTCAGCCGCGCCGTGATTTCCGCTTATCCGTCGGCGCGTTTCCGCCGAGCGTATCGCTTTTACCGGTGCGCTCTGAAATAAAGATACAAAGACCCGGCCGCGCACCGTTCTTGCGTCGGCCGTGTCGCGTAGCGCCGCCGATGTAGCTCGCGTTAAAACGGCCAGCGCCGCCAAGTTAAATTAGTTTCCTAACGAGTTGCTAAAAAATGCCGCGTACCCACTCGGGCAACGCTCGTCCGCCGCCGTAGGAGTATTTACACGCGTAAACGGTTCCGTGGTATTGTGCGAAAGAGTCTCCGGGACGTGACGCGAGGCTCGAAACGAGGCTCTGGCATTGTGGAATTTTTCATGCGAAACTTCATATCTCGGCCCTCTCTCGGCCGGCTTAATTCGGGGCCGTTAATGGCAAAGGCGGCGGTGAGAGAATTTTCGTCCAATCAGTGAATTGTGTCGACGGCGAGTGAAAGGATAATGTTCAAATAAAGACTCCTCCTCGCGATGCATGCTGCACGCGGCGGACGCTGATGATGTTAGCGTTGCTCGCGAGAATAAACTCGAGAGACAGAAACGCAAATAACAAAGCGCATCCAAATGAAATATTCTTACCACGGGCAGTATATATCGCGACGCGGTGCCGTGACAAAGGCGGACGGCGAAAAAATTAATCTGCAATTGTTGGCGAAGAAAAAAGCGCCCGCGCCACGGCGAATTTTTTTCCCTACGACGGAAGGGAGTGATTTACGCGTTCGATTTCGCAACAAAAGTGCCGGACGTGTATCTCCTCCGTGACAGTAGCGGCGGCGGCGGCGGCGGCGGCGGCGGCGGCGGCGGCAGTGGCGGCGGCGCAGTGTAATAATTTATTTAATTCTGAGGGAGTATTCCGCGCCAAGAGAGCGCACATAAGTGCGATATGTACTCTGGAAATTTCTTCAAGCGCAATCCCACTCAAGACCAGTGGAAATTCACTCGAGACATTCAAGGTAGAGAAAATAGCGCCGTTTATGATTAGAAAAGTGAAGTGCGGCATAACCGTCGCTTACTCCTAGAGTAGAGCAAGGTTTTAATCCACATCAATGTTTCAGTCAATTTGAGTAAATTGGTCCAGCGACGAGGAAGCACGTCAAATTCACTTCTCAATTTCGAGTGAAAATATTTTCACTTGGCCCATTCGGAAATGCAAAATTCGCTTTATACGAGTGAAGTGTCGCACGATTTCGAGTGACTCGGCTGTCGCTCTACATTTTGAGCGGGACCTCGCTGGAAGAAATTTAAAGAGAGAGAGAGAGAGAGAGAGAGAGAGAGAGAGAGAGAGAGAGAGAATACAAGTATAATTAAACAAAATAGTATACAGTAACAGAGCTAACGCGAAAATGAAAAAAAAAAAAAAAGGAAGAAGACCGAAAGCGATAAAGATTATAGATAAAAATAAGGAAAAATAACACAAAGAGAATATAAATGAAAAACGAGTCGAGGATCCTCCACATCAGGTGGAGCAATCGAATGAGAGTCAACGATCTCACGGAGCGACGAGTTCCTCAAGTCGGATGATTCGACTAAGAAGAACTCTCAGCACACATGGACAGAGACCGACTAGAGAGAAAACCGTCAGTCGCGGCCGTCGAGGTCTCTCGCGGAAACTCGTGGATATTTAAATTTGCTGGAAAGATAAGCTGACACGCCGGCGACGGAGAGCAGTTGGTAAACGTGACAGTCCAATAAATAGAGTCTACGTCGCTCGGCTGTGGATCCGAGCAGGAGGCGTGCGCAAGCGAGGGGACGAGAGGGGAAGGAGCGGCCGGAGCAACCACGGCTCATAAAGCAACTAAAGTACGAGAAATGAGCACCATTTGCGGGACGAACAATCGAAATCCGTCTCGCTGTCTCGTCGCGCTTCTCGCCCGCGATCTCGATCGCGCACGGAACGCGAATAAACGAATAAGAACGAATCAGCTGCGGATTGAAGCTGCGGAGGAGCGCGCAACCGAGCGGCGGGCAAGAGCGCTCTGCAGCGCTCGAAAATAGTTCCGATTTCGTTAATGTTGCGATCTAGGCGGGCATGCAGCAGCGCGCACGCGATAAAGCTCTTGGAGTTTTCACGTGGCACGATGCGGGAGGCGGAGCAGCGTGTGCTGGTTTATTTCATCTCCTCTCCCGTAGCCCTCCCGGCAACACGCGCACGCACGCACGCACGCACACACACGTGTAGATTGTCTTTGCGCGAGTCCCCGCACGTATCTTTCCGCGGCCGCTGCGTTCGTCATTTAATTCCACAAAAAT